TAGCTTTGCGGGGTTATACATGTAGTGTTATAGACTACTTTGTTCAACAATACTTAACAATAGCTTCTCTGAGTTTCATGTCTGAGGATGTAAGCCTATAGTGTACTGTCAGACCAATGGGAAGGATATAATTGTAACTCAAAGCTTACTGTTTACATACAAATATGCCAGTTCAAGGAGTTAACCTTTAATTAAAGTGTGTAGAATGATTAATTAAAAATAGTTAGCATTACATAAAACCCTTAAGGGTGTCAAAGGGTCTGAAGAGTTTTGCATGACATGAATGATCTTGTTGGTTGCAGCTGTCAGTTAATGCTCCCCCTGGGGTGTGGATTTGTAGTACTGACATGATTCTTACTGTCGCTCCAGATACAAGTACGTTTTTACTGTTGTAATACTGTAGTCTTCATATTAATTTTATGTTATCATTGATATTGATTGTTACTGTTTTTGGCTTGCAACCAATTTTATGTCTATAATTGTTTTTTTCATCGATAGAAATTGATTGGAAGCAGTATTCTGATGGCATCACCATGATATTATTTCAAGGAGATATAAACTATGCAACGGGCCATGGGGTTGTGAAATTCGGAGACAAGGTACTGTAACATCTGTCGAGACAAAGTGTTCATGAAAAAAAATACATGCGTGTGTCTCCTACAGAGGTCACCACTTATGTTGTTTGATTGATTGTTGTTTGCTTGAGTTTTTCTTCAGAAAATTGATCTGATTACCATGCATCAAGCCTTACACATGTAATCATGTATTGGCTTGATTGAATCCAGGGAGAAACCGCAGGCCTGGCCCCATCTGTTTGATAAACTGCTTTGTGGCAACTCAGTCCTTTCAGGATTGTGAGACAAGTCAGTTCTTAAGTCCACCTGAATGAACGTCCATATTTTTTGAGTTTACAGTTACCCGATTGTGATCTGCCATGACATAAAGCAGTGGCTTCATGGTGTCTAACTGTATAGCTGATCATCAAGCTTTAGATTCTCGTCGAGATCTCGGTGAGATCTCAAAATTTTGGTGGCCAAGTAAACTTGCTAAGATTAGGGACTTTTTGGCTGCTGAGACTTGCTGTGATCTCACTGAGATTCAGAAACTCACAAACATCATGGGGAGATCTCTGCAATCTTGGTGAGATCTCGTCAATATTGGCGAGATCTCGGTAAAAGTTTTTCATGGGACAGGATATAACATTGCTACTACATGTACAGTATGTACTTGTAAACAACTATATGGTAATTTGTTTACAGCTTTTATTAATTACTTTTTCTTGCAACTAAATATGTTGAAGGGCAAAGTTAAGGACATCACTTTTAAAGGAACTGTGGATATGTTAAAGAGCTGTGCCCTCCAAAATGGTAAAGTTCCCTTGGTAAGTATCCGGTTATCTGTGCAGCAATAGAGTGCAGTCTCTAAAGCAAATATTACTGATTAAAGTCAGATGTAGGCTTTTGACGCTTAAAGATAAGCTTATTGCACAGCTTTGGTCCAAAAATACCTGCAGCTAAATTAAGGTCACCTTTCATGCAAAATATTAATTTTTTTTCTATGATAAAAAGTAGAACTAATTTGGCTTGTATGCATTACATGCCTATGGTGTTGGCAAGTATTATAGGCATGTAACACGTGCAGAGACTTACATAGCTTTAGCCCTGGTGCAAATATTTAGTTAAACATCCTCAGAGATCAGCTGTGACAAATTTTCACAAGGGTACACCTTTGTGGTGCACACTGTGGGCCTATGGCTGGCTATAAGTATTGTTCACTAGTGTCCTACGCATGCAAGGTGTGCGGACAGCTACGTGTTCGCTCCTGTGCCCATATATATGACAGCAGCTACTGAATTGTTTGGTTAACAGGTCAGTGGTGTGGTTTACATAAATATCTCAATAGTGGAAAAAATTCTCAGTTTCCATGTGTATGCTCCTCTTGATGCTTGCACTTACTATGGACTTGACAATGGAGCAGATCCTATACAGGTATGAAACGATAGTGTTGTTCTGATATGATACTTATAACAACAGGGTTGGTGATATTAATTAACAGATTTTGGCAGGGTACCACAGTACTGTAACTGGTGAATAATGCGTCTTGATTACTGCTCCCTGATGGCTGCAAGGGTCATCTTGGGTTGACATTACAAGTATAGTGGGATTATTTGAAATAAAATGCAAATCGCCTCCCTTGAATGACTGCCCCTGCTCCCCACCTGTCCCCCTCACTCCCCTTGGGTAATATCCTCCTGCCTACCTAGTACTAACTTTTTACAGTTGATTGTATATTTGAGGATATACAGTTAGTCAATTTAGACTACAACATGCTGTATTTTTATTTTATACATTTAGTTGTCACTGTTCTTTGACATTCTACTGTGCCTGGCTGAGGATGTCACTGAGGCAGACTTTGTTTGTGGTGAAAGGAGTGGTTCATATGGTCGCAGCACTCGAATGGGAACAAAGTGTAGCTCAAAGGATGAGATGACATTGATGAGAGGTGCAAGGGCTTCTCTGTGGAAGATTCTCAGGGGTGTCTCACTAAAAGGAGGTACTGTACGTTCAATCAACTCCTAAACTCTTGTTACATTGTTCAGTACACCGTCAAGTAAAGTTGTGTGGAGAATGAGTAAACTAATCATCGACCAGGAGCTACTTTCTTGCTTTGTCCTCATTCATCACCAAAACCTAACTCTGACAATAAAATAATAAACTTTAGAAATACTTGCAATAAATTAATTACATTGAGTCACTGTGGTCTAATTGTTAGTGCACTGGACTCTAGTTCTAGCAATCTGGGTTCTAGCTCTGGCCGGGGTCTTGAGCAAGACACTTACAGCTGTAAATGGGTGCCTGCAAATAAATGCTGGAGGAGAAAGTGGGGGGGGGNGGGGGTAACCTTACATTGGTCTAGTATCCCATTCAGTGGGGACTAGAAATACTCCTAGTTGCTTAATGCTATTAATACAGGATTAACTCTGGCTGTATAGGCCACTTTGCCTAAGGCAGACTTAACCTTATGCTTACCATACAGTTGTTGTAATCTTTGTTTTCTCTTCCTCATGCTATTTAACAGTTGTGATTGAAAAGGGGGAATTTGATTACATGCAGCCATCTGCGGAATGTTACAGAAGTCAAATGCTGAAAAGTGTTGAAAAGTTTGGTGATGGTCAATTTGACCACAACAACCACACCCATGTCTGTTTTCGCAAGGTACATTTTGTTAATAAATACATATACATCTTGTACTGTGAGGTATAACTCAACCTTGTTCTCAGGGTGTCTCTTTTTCCCTTTCCCAAGACTGAGAGAAGGCGTGGGAGGGGGGCTGGGGAGGGGGAAAGAAGATAGACTCAGGGAACTAGGTTGAGTCATAACTCATGAATAAAGCTCTTCTAGGGACTGGTAAAAATCATTCTCGCACCAAGAGATAATACTCATTATTAAATGTACCAATGTTCAAGAGCTTTATCAAACATTTATTGGCAAACTCAAAATGTAATTGGCTGTGGGGCATTAGATAAAGTATGATCATTTGATAGATACATGTACAGCATATTATGTAGACTTCTTCTTTTAAAACAACTGAATGATGTGTTAAGAAAAAAGATAAATTCTTTCCCCATTTTTTTCATGGGGTTTCTTCATAATTATTGATAACAGAGATGCAAAGTACAGAGTGCTCATGAAGAGGCTGCTCTGTAATGTAAATAGAAGGTTTATGCTAAATTCAGTGAAGTAAGTTTCTTCCTCTTTCTGCTCTCTGATTTTTGTTTGAACAGAACAACCAAGGAAAACCTGCAGATGTGGACCAGTCTACTGTAGTCGTAAATTCTATTATTGAAGCCGGAATTGACATTGGAAAGGAGTCTGTTGTGTCTCATTGTCATTTACAGGTACCATCCTGGACAGGTTTTTCCAAGTTGTACATGTAACATTCATAGGGGGATGTGCTGTATGCCAAACTTCACATAGCACTTGAGTGAATAGTTTTGAAGTTCCATTAACCAATCAGTGTTTAGATTACATGGACATGTGACTTGAAATGTGACCTGTTGTCACGCTAGCTTATTGTCACAATATGCTTTTATTGCACATTGTATATTTCATCTAAAAAAAGCCACCAAACCTTTCTTCTTACGAGACTTTGTGATGCGACTCTGAAGACAGTGACACTGGATCACGTTTAGGTTTATTTTTCTAGTTTCGTTGATAGCAGTTGATATCTGAGCTGTCACACAACACATGGAAGAAAGCGTCGCGTGACAACCCAAATAGCAGAACGAAAGAAAACAAACGCAATTGTTCTCTTGAATGAGAATTGCATTGTCTATTTTAGGGAAATGTCAAGATCGGTGCAGGATGCGTGTTGACAGGAATTGCTCCACATGATTTCAAGGTGAGTATTTTGGAAAGTAAAAAAAAAATCATTTCTTAAATAGCTAAGATTTGGCCCATTCATCATTATATCACCTATGACCCTTGTTAAATTGTATTTGTAATAGGTGTATCGCAATTTTTATCCATTTTATGTACTTCTGTGCAATGTAATTTCACTGTTTCAATATTTTTTTCCTCAATATTTCCAGAGTATTCTCCCAGGGACCAGTCTCGTGGAGAATCTGTGCCTTCTGGCTTACACTGTGTCCCTTCCAGGTCTGAGAGGAAAATCTCACAGGGTTCTGGCGGTGTTTGGTGTTCATGACGAAATGCAGGTCAGAAACAGCTGACACTTGTGTAGATAAATGGAAAGTTTGCATGAACGAAATTTGCTTACGTTTTACGCGAGAAACTGAACTCGTGAGATTCTTTAACCCACGACTCTACAAGTAGAAATTGTACAATTTAAACCCATTCGAAACGGGACATAACAAGCTCCCATATGCAGTAAGACTATTATTTCTGCTAGTCCTTACTAGTTACAGAAAAGTTCAGTTTAAACTGACTTACTGCACTTTCTAAAGGGAGGTGAAATTTCCACATTTCCATGGTGATGATTAGGGGCGTGTCAATTACACATGTTGACTGTTCATGTAATTAGTTTGACGCAGTTGCCAGTAGTTCATTTGTAGCAAAGTAAGAGGTTGTTTATGAAGATGGCTACCGTTCATATTGTGATAAATTGTCAGACGACAAATTATTTGTCAAACTAGACGGCTCACTGAAGATGTTAATTTTTCAGATGCCATGTCAATCCCCAAGCAGTACCTACTGTAATAAACCATGGAAGGTATTCTTTGAAGGAACAGGAATCAATTCAGAAGAAGTCTGGATCGGGGTGGTAAGCAATCATTTGCAGCACTATATCAGCCCGCTACAAGTGATCAAAATCTCAGTTTTTTCTTACAATATTAAAACACTGAAAAGGCACACGAGGCATGTAGGAATGAAGAAAACCGACAAGAAGAGGATCCTGTCTTGATGTCCATGTGCTACCAAGTCGCTACCCTGCTACATAAACAGGGTCTCCGCTCTGGTTAAGGGGAAAAATAGGGAGGTCGAAAATTAGGGACCTTACCTTCCCCTTCCCTTTTGTTTCTCTGTTTTCCACGGTAGGCTATCACATGCTAAGAGCGAACGCCACATGACAGTTTTGAACTCATATTCTTACTCTTGCTTTTTCTGTTGTTTGTTTGTTTTCTTGATATTTTGTTTTGTTTGTTTGTTCAGCCTGAACAGCGCAGGAGTCTTTGGAATGCTAAGCTGTTCCCAGTTGTTCATCCTTTTGATGTTCTGGAGGATGATGCTGGTGAAGATGACATCCTATGGCTGGCGAGTATTGGCGTGTCTGATACTCCTGATCAGCAAAAACTGAACAGGTTTGTTGAAGTCACTTTTGTGTTGTGTTTCGTCTGTTGTTTCTTCTTTTTATGGTGTTGTGTTTTTGTGCTGCACTGCGTTGTCTTTGTTGTATGGTGTTGGTGAAAAGAGCTGTTGGGCAAAAGTCTGCAAAACTGATTTTGATTTTACATCTGATTGGCTGGGAATATGACATCTTTCCTCTGATTGGCCAAAGTATTTCATGTAAGTTTCTCGAACACGGGCGAACTACTACACGCAAGACAAATGTTAGCCAAACGTACGGCAAAAGTGAGGCAAACGCTAGAAAACCGCAAGGCAAACGCAATGCAAACGCGAGGCAAACGAAAGGTAAATTTAAGGCAGACGCAGTGTTTTCTTTCCGAGTCATCCTGATGAACATTTATTCTTTCAGGTGGCGTTCTTCACTGAGATTATCTTTAAAAGATATATTGAATGCCGTCGATACGGGTTCAGAGTTTGCTTGGAGGAAAAAGCTTTGGTTTGAGATTGGAAAGACCGAAGTGGAGGGAACACTTAAGAATTGCAGCAGTAATTGCCTTGTGCCCTTCTTCAAGAGTTGTGGAAAAGAAGGATTTGAGTCGCAGATTTTGGAGGTTTTAGATCAAGGTACATGCAACTGTAGACTCTAGGCAATGCGTATTTTTACTCCTGGGTTTGACCGTTTGGAGGAAAGTTTTTGTTATAAAAGTTCATTTGAAATAAGGTTTAGCCCGTCTGTGAAAACCAGGTACCCTCCTACTGAAAACGTTAATGAAAATCCCTGGAACTGAACCGTTATCTTCTCTTGATTTATAATTAACCCTAAAATCGCCATCAGATTCAGTGTTCCTCTCCACAGTTTGGTTACTGTTTGTCCCCATTTAATCCCGTAGTGGTTCGTGTGGATACTCGAGCTCAAGTTATAACCCTTTCAAAATGAACTAAACTTTTATTAATCATTTGTCAATGATTGTTCGCTTCCTAAGTTGCATCCAGCGCCACCTCTCCAGGCGTGGCTGCACGGACTTTGGCGTGTATTGCTGACGTGTTAGGTGCGATGGCAGGAGAGAGGGCTGGGTTGAGAAGTGGTCCGGCCCGAAATGAATCTTGGATGCAGGCCTTTGAGCTTCTTGATGTATGTTCACTGCTTTGTTGGTTAGTTTTGTTAACGAGAGTAACGAACTCGCCAACGGAAAAAATTGATATTTCACTTGCATTGAGACATCTATTTATTCAAGGCTAAAAAAGATCAGGGTAATTCTAACGTGGGCTTGTGTACTTGCTCCTCTTCAGTTTCTGTCTGACTGTTTTGGAAAGTATTTTGTTGAAGTGTTTTGTAATCGAGGAAAAAAAAAACCTTACTCTAGGCGAACTCGATGCTAGGCCTAGTAATTAATTGCACGTAATTGTTTTAGTGTTTTGTAATTGTAGGAGGCGCGGTGGCCTCATGGTTAGTGCNGGGGAGTAGAAATACTCCTAGTCGCTTCATGCTACAGAAACCGGGATAAGCTCCGGCCTGATGGGCCACTTGGCTCGCATGCAGACTTTACCTTTACCAATTGTTTTAGCACTAAAAATGTTGTTATAGTCCGAGTGCTTTTATTTAATCCGCTAAACAACATCTAACAATTAGTGCAAAATAGACGGAGCTAAAAAAAATAGAAAATAATGGAATAAATGTCTAAATACAGCTAGCTGTATAGTAACTATTTCACAGGTGAACTAACAGAGTGCTTATTATCATCAGTCCTTATTGCTCCCAGACGGGTATGGGACCGCAACTGTGTGCTTATGGTAAGATTAAAATCCAGCCCGGCATAAGCTTGCTTATTGCTGCTGTTTGCTAATCGATTTTGTCATGTGATCGTAGAAAGGAGAAATCTCAGCAGGGGTCAAAGCTCTCGCCATGGAAAGATCAAAATGGCTTGACAGGTACGACGCAAGTAGACACTGATAAAACAAATGAAAAACTACTCCGTTAGCCCATCCGTCTTTTTTTAGAGCTTTTGTTCAATGGTGTTTATTCAGCGATGTTGATTAAATATTATTCTCTTTCAACAGACCTCATTTGCTTATCCGAGCTGCGAGACATTATGAAGGAGCTGAACAGGTCTTGAGGAGACGGGCAGTTCTGACAGCGAGACAGGTGCGTTATTTTACCGTGGTCACATAACGTTTTTAGCACTCAACCAACCGTCACGAAGGAAATTTCACCGGATGGGGAGGGGGGGGNGGATTTCGAGGGAGAGAAAAGCGGGAGGCGAGGAGAAAACGTTTAGGTACCGGCGTGCTGCAGAGGGTTTTCTGAAACCAAATCTTCACATGTTTGATCTCATTTTCTTGCAGTTTTTCCGGATTGAAGATTGTGATCCTGTTCCCATGGGGCACTGGGTTATAACGGAAGCACCAGGTTTGCAACGTTTTTATTGAGTCACTAATTAAATACTTATTTCTGTGCTGACTTTTAGAATCACCGTCATTTGTTTGCAAACTGATGTAAGCTCTCTTAAGGATGACTCCAGGGCCAATACTAAATCTCAATTGGCGACACTGTACTAAATTATAAGATGCTTTATTTCAGCCCGGATAGATCTTTCTGGAGGATGGAGTGACACGCCGCCAATCACCTACGAACAAGGCGGAGCGGTGCTAAACGTTGCCGTTAAACTCAATGGACAGGTAGTGATGTTAATTTCGTAACTTTTAAAGGTACCCTTGTGATGTGGTTGCGTTACGTCTTGTACCAATGTCACGCTTCCTAAACCAAGTAACATTTTTTTGGATCGGTGGAAAGATTGCCTGACGACTTTCTTGACAGCTTGCTTGATGTCTATGAGGATGAAAGGAGAGGTTTATGCATATTAGTTTTTTATAAATCGAACTGGTAATGGGTTTGGTCTTGGGCATGCGTTGCATTCAAACATCATCTTTTTCCCAGTCAGTTAAAATACGAGCATTTTGTTTTGCAGAAAGTTACGAAAGCCCAAGTCAGGAAAATAAAGGAGTGAGTAACATTAAAGTTCGATTTCCACCGCTCTCGCGACTCCAGTCCTCGTTCCTCCTCGAGAGTTCGTGGAGAGGAGCGCAAGCTCATTTCCCGAACATCGGCTGGTAATCGTACAATGTTGATTGTTCCACAACCCAGGTTTTAATTTCACTCTTTGTTTAATTTTTTGCCTTTTTGGTCACTTTCGGAACTTTGCGGTAGCTGTATAAATGGGAAATTCTGGATTTTCTGGTAGCCTGTGGAAAAGTGCTCGTTTATCTTAGCTCAGTTCAGACTTTGTATAGACATGTTTCTCTTGTTCAATCTGTAGGCTTGAAATTGTCCTTGTGATCCACTCAGGAGAGCACAGTGTTCGAGTTGTGTGCAGTGAGTTGATACATATGGAGAACTATACTCAACCAAATGCTCCAGGTATGACTAGATATTGTGGAGAAAGATAAAAAATGAGCCGTTTAACACGGTGAACATGCACAAAATGTGGATGTTGAAAGGGGTAAGAAAAAAAGGAAAAATTCTCGATAATGGTTCTCTTACGCTCTATACTGTTGGCTGGGAGAATTTTATCTTACTGTTGGTGATCAATTGGGTTACTCTCACAACTTCTATGTTAGCAATGTGTGGATATTTTTGAGGAGAAGCTGGATAATGATAAATGTTAGAATTGTGTCACGTGACGTTAAGCTTTAAGGTGGTTAATGAACATAACAGTTCAGTCTACATCTGTTGCTTCAAATCATGTTTTGTTAACTGTGACTGCTCTTAGCCTGCGAGTAGGCTTTCTGCCTGGGGGTACAAAGCGCAGTGGGAAACTGCAGTGGGTAACTTTTTATTGTAACTTTTTACATATTGTAACTTTTTATTGTTCATACTTAGTACTAGTATACTTAGTTATTTTATAATTACTCGTACATTTTTAGCACAGAGGGTCACTAGCTTATCAGTTTATACTGTCATGTGTCACCCTCTCTAAATAAAGTTGATTGATTGATTGATTGATTGATTGATGAAGAAAGAGTTGCTTCATCCACCCTTTCCCCCTACCTAACCCTCGAACGGAAAGCCTGCTCGCAGACTGGTATGCTCTCTGCTCACGAAAATTTTATTTCCATACACAAATCCTTTTCCTGGCATTAATTTTATTAAAAAGAGAAATAAATTGTCCGAATAGTTTCATTTGTTTGCAAACTTCTTCATAAAATATTCTCTTGTACTCAATTTAAATAAAATCTCTGTTCTTCGCCACATTTCTCAGTAAGATTTCATTTGATTATTTTCATCTCAATATGATTTTTACCATCTGTGACACATTATGCTGCGGTTGTTTTCCCCAGGAGCGCTCTTAAAAGCTTGCTTTTGTTTACTCGACATTGTAACTTTGCCATCAAACGAGACATTATCCGAACAACTGAACAGAAAGTACCAGGCAGGTTTTGAGCTCCATACATGGTCAACCGCTCCTCAAGGCAGTGGCTTGGGCACGAGTAGTATTTTGGCGGGAGTTATCCTGATGGCGCTGTTACGCGTGACGGATCGGACAACAAGTATGGAGTCTCTCATCCACGCTGTGCTGATCATTGAACAGATGCTAACTACAGGAGGCGGGTGGCAGGACAACGTCGGGGGACTGGTACCTGGTTTTAAAATCGGTCGGTCCCAAGCCTCTTTGCCTTTAAAAGTGGAGTGGGAAAAACTGGAGTTGAGCGAGAAGACCGTGGAAGAAATGACTAAAAGATTGGTGTGCTTTTACTCGGGAAGGACAAGGCTTGCCAAGAACTTGTTACAGGTAAAGCAGTGAGGAACGAAGTGGGTGAAGTGGAACGTGAGGGGGTGAAGTGGAGGCAATCATGGAAGGTACATTTTACGCATGATCGCAGAATGTCCCCTCAAGCTCCATGGCTTGGCCGAAAACAAAAATTCAAAATATATAAGAAAGACATCTTAAGATCAATCTTCAAGAGAATGACTTCTGACACTTCCAAACCTTGTTTCCAGCAGATTTTTGGGAAACGTTTTTCAACGATCTCCAGTTTTAAGTTCGTAGAAGTCGAAGACATGTTAAACCCAAATCCACTTGTTCTTATCGAGTATTTGTTATGGAACCGAATGAATTCGAAATATTTCCAGCGTCAATTGCATTAGAATCTGATCATGAGTAATAGCAACTAATGGACTCACTCTGCAGAATCCTGATCTTCTTTGTTGAATTCTTTTGACAGAACGTTGTCAGGAATTGGTACGCAAGGTTTTCCCAAATCACTAACAACGCCAAAAACTTGGTGAACAACGCGGAAGAGGCTGCTAAAGCCCTAAAAGAAGGTACGTTACCTTGATGTGCGAGCGAGAATGGTGTTGTACTTCGAAAATGTTAGTGTGACTGCATGGGCTGAGGCTTATTGCGGACGAACCTGACATGAGCGCTCGCAAAGGAAGAGGAGCCGAGCTTGGTTTGGTCGTTGTGGAAGGGGCGGGGAAATATCGCTTTACGTCAGAAAAACTAACGACCAATCGCCCTAAGTGTGGGTGTTTCTCCATGAGCAGAAATTTATCAAGCAGCTTACATTGAAATAATTGTGCATTATCGGCCTTATCTTACCTTTCACGCAGGAAATATCGAGAAGTTTGGTGCGTGCTGGACTTGTTACCGACATCAAAAAAGCCTCATGGCACCCGGTGAGTACGGTGATAGTGAACGTACAGTTCTCTTTATCAGCCTCCGGGCATCATGCTCTAACATAGCCTGCGACCAGGCTTTCCGTTCGTGAGGAGATAAGGGTAGAGAAGAGAGGAAAAGGAGAGGGTAATTCAATAATGGATGTGTATGTAACTGTTCAAACGGTGGACGCAATTTGCAGATGGTTTTTCGGATACTTTCTTTAGTTACAAGTCCATTTTGTGATCATTTCTTTTGATTTAATACTCCACACTGTATAGGGCTCTCTTTTTATCGTTGTGTTGATGTGAGTTTTTATGTCGCTCAGTGTTGTGGTTGAAGAATACTGAGTAGTCGAAAGAAAAGGTCAAGAGCGATTTTGATGACTCTACAGTTATTCTTCATGTTAACTCCCTACAGGTTCTGAGCCCAAAGCAATTAAAGACTTACTGGAAGCCCTGGCGCCGATGAGTTACGGTAGGTTCATATTTTTTTGCTGCATGATTTGTGGCCTCCTGATACTGATTTCCTAAAGTAGGAACGACTCATTAAAAGATGCCTTCCGAACCCGTGCAAATGTTTGTTTATTTTCAGGTCAAGCGATGGCCGGAGCGGGTGGTGGTGGATTTATTTTTGTTCTGACCAAGGAACCAAACATGGTGGATGAAGTCAAAGCTGTGATCAAGTCAATGAAGGTAGTGTTTTCTTCGCAAGCTTAAATGCAGCGTTTTTGCTTTTGTTTTGATGCTCCCTTTTCTTTTAACGTAGATTTTTCTACGGTAGGAAAGTGCGAAGGGTTTCTTATTTATTTATTTTTTCTTCCCATAAATTCTACGTTGTATTTTAATTATGTTTTGATCAATGTCTCCAGCCTTCAGACGAGACAGTTGATTTCTATGACGTGAGCGTGGACTGGGAAGGACTTACTGTGAGAGTGGAGGAACCCTCGCAATGAATCATGGGAAAATGGACGAAGAAACACGAAAAGAACCCAGGGAACTTTTCAAAGAAGCAAGAGTTTCCGGCTTTGAGTAACTCGAAGTAATCACTCTAGTTTTTGTGAGCGCTGACCTCAAGTTAAGGTCCTTTGAGTGAAGGACATTCACTACTGGGGGGGAGAGTGAGGTCATGAAGAGCTTGTAGCAAAGTTGGTTTGACGTACACATTTATACAGTCGATCCTCCCGTAAGCGACCACCCAAAATGTCAAGCCTAGATGGTCGCTTACGAGAGCTTAGACCATATTGGGTCAACATATTTGGTCTTACTAGCGTATGGTAAATGTAGAGACTTACCCCATGAGTCAGTGCCCATCTAAACCATATAAGAACTTTTAGCAGCCACCACAAACCTTCCAAACCTTCAGAGTATCATGGTTTGTTTCTGACAAACTACAACATCTTATTATCCAATTTCCGCCCTCTTAGCTGTCAAGTTGTCGCTTACGGGAGGTTAAAAGCAAAAGAAAACTTCGAACTTTTAGCTCTAAGAGTGGTCGCGAGCGTCTATGAGAGGTGGTCGCTTACAAGAGGTTCCAAAGATAGTGATTTGACTTGGAAACTTTTGGTATTTTGGAAAACTGGTCCCTGAGGGGAGGTGGTCGCTTACGATAGGTGGTCGCAGCCGGAGGTTCGACTGTATATTGTAAAGACACTAGGCTAGCTTAGAATGGTTTATGCGCTAGAGCTTCAAGTAACACGTCTCGCACATTACGGACGTGTTATGTTTCCGTTAGGGAATGAGCCTTGCATGGGTTAGATTGGGAACCTTTTCCTACTGTATGTGCGTGTAATAAAAGGTTATAGCTCTGCAATCTTGAAACGGACGAAAACAAAATCCCCCAAGGTTATCGAAACGGTGTTATTATCGGTAGAAAATTAGTAATGACTTATTTTCTTACGTTACATGATCGCGTCTTTGGGCGGGGACGATAAACCGAAGGCCTTGACTCCGATACTACATCTACATTTTTAACCTTCACACTTATGAGGGGACATAAAAGATTTCACAACACTGTTGGCATAGAGTACGGGACATGGTCTCCAAAATGCGTTTTCAAAAATTGGAAAAAAAGTTATTAAAAGGATTAGGTCACACTTAGGTAATTCTTGGGCATGCAAACTGTTGCACAAAATTAATGTATCCGGGAACCTATATCAATTCAGATTATGTTTGTTATAGTCAGCCTTGTTCCTGTACCTTGCAAGCTAGTTTAATGGGCGAAGTCGTCGAGCAAGAGTCACCAAGTATCACGTACCTCATTCGGGATAAAGCAAACGAACTGGCCTATTACAGTGTTTATTATATAACTGAAATAAGTACTTTATTGTGATTGGTTGAGAGCAAGCTAATTTTTGGAGCAATTTTCAACTTAAGAATATTTAGATATCACTCTTAGTCTAAAATCCTTAATTTTACTCGCATATATACATGCGATTTCCTAGACTTAATTTATGGTACTTTTTAAGTTTAATTTTAGTTGACTTTAAAATATACACCTTATTCCAAAATGGCAGCCAGTTTATTATTCTTTTGTTTACATGGTAATTAGCCCTCTTTGCCTCGTCAACATGTACAATATACAAAAGAATTTTGAAGTGAAAATGAGGCAAAGAGGGCTAATTAACATGCAAACAAAAGAATAATAAATTGGCCGC